TGCACGACCGTTGGTGTCCTTCGAAATAGGTTGGCTGCCAGGTCCCTTTCCAAATATTACTTTCACATCATTGACCATATCGAGGATGTCCTCACCAGTTCGGTTGCGAGGCTTGGTCTGGTGGTCTGCCTTACCTTTAAAATGTTTGCCTTTCTTTCTTACGAGGTGATATGCAGGAAGATCGTCGATGCCCAAGGTACACGACCTTGCGACACTTTTTCAAGAATATACCTTTCATGTCACTGAAATAGTGCGTGCATGCATTATATCCCTTGTTTGATTGTCCTGAAAGATTACTTAGAGCTGGCCAATCATTGATTATTACGAACAACAATGCTCGCAGGTCAAAGTGCTCCTGCTTGTGCTCATCCCACACGTGTACACCTGGCTTGTTCCACAAAAGTAGAAGTTCTTCAACTAGTGGCCTCAAGTACACATCGATGTCGTTGCCAGGTTGCTTTGGGCCTTGGATGAGCACCGGTATCATAATAAACTTACGCTTCATGCATAACCAGGGAGGAAGGTTGTAGATACATAGAGTAACAGGCCAAGTGCTGTGACTACTGCTCTGCTCCCCGAAAGGATTCATACCATCCGTACTTAAAGCAAACCTTAAGTTTCTTGCGTCACTTGCAAACTCGAGGAATTCTCTATCGATTGCTCTCCACTGGGACCCATCAGCAGGGTGTCTCAACATTTCTACCTTACGGTCTTCTTTGTGCCATCGCAACAACTTTGCATGGTCTCTGTTTCTAAAAAGACATTTCAAGCGTGGTATTATATGAGCATACCACATAACCTTGGCAGGGATTTTCTTCTTGGGACGTTCGCCCTCAACATCACCAAGGTCATCTCGCCTGATCTTATACCGCGACGCGTGACATACAGGGCATGCAATCAACTTCTCGTACTCCGTGCCACGGTAGAGGATGCAGTCATTATGACATGCATGTATCTTCTGGATTTCTAATCCTAAAGGGCGACTTCACCTGCTTTTGCTTCAATGCGTAGTCTTTGGGCAATTCGTTATCCTTCGGAAGCATCTTCTTTTGGATTTTAGTAACTCCGCTGAATCCCTTATCGACATACACCATTCTTTGCCTTCAATTGCAGCAATTCCAATGTGGTACCTAACTTTTTCTGCCCCGCATCACAAGTTGGGTATAGCAATTTCTTGTGATCCTCTAGCATGCGGTCGAACTTGATCTTCTCCTTTTTACTTTCGCATTCTCTTTGTGCGTCACGAATGGCCTGACCAAGATCTTCAGTGGGCTCCTCCTCTGCCCCTACCTCTTATTCAGCGGGCTTCTCCTCTGCCCCCACCTCTTCTTTAGTGGGCTTCTCCTTTGCCCCCACCTCTTCTTCAGCTTCCCCCATTGCAGTATCTTTGAAGGCACCATATTCAACAAAAATGTTATCATCGCCCCATTGTTCTTCTTCACCTTCTTCCATTACAACTCCGGTTTCTCCGTGCTTCGTCCAACAAATATAGTTTGGCATGAAACCTGACTTGAACAAGTGTGAATGAAGAGTCTTTGAGTTAGCATATTCCATCGTATTCTTACATACGGCACATGGGCAAACATGAAACCATCGCGTTTGTTTACCTCGGCCAAGACGTAACAAAGAATGCACGCCTTCGTCCATGAACTCTTGGGAGCGACGATCAAGATTGTACATCCAATGCCGACTCATCTGCATTATATGACATAAATACCGTATTAAAACCTAGAACATAATTAGTTAATTATACAACATGCATACCACCACAAAAGCTATAAATTTAAGAAAGCCTCGCTACAATGTAGACAATCCCAACTACCACTAAAAACACTAAAGCTAAAATGCACTTCAAAGAAAGACAAGGATTTCATGACCAATCTCAACTAAAACAGAGATAGATCCCCGTTTGTTCAACATCTTTGGGCTTCTTCGTTTGGATCATCGCCTCATTAGCCGCCATATCTCGCTTGTTGTGTAAGATATTTTTGTACGAGTTCAACATACTCTTCCTCCCAAAGAGAAGCTCGAACATCCAAAGTGCCATCCCACCGAAATTAAAATGAAAATTAGAACTTTAATCACAACCATCATGAAAATAGGTATAAACTAACCATAGTTATTAAATACGATAAAATAACTCACATTGCGATCCGGACACTTGTAGAAAATGCGACCCTTGTTGGGACCCTCCTTCTTCACTCGGTACTCCATCACAATCTTCGTCTCATCACAACACTTGCCGCATGCAATGAGTGGGAGGCCTGGCCTAAGTCGCTTTGGAAACCCATAAGAGGCCGAGGACCCGGAAGCAGTTGCCATCTACTCTCTATACTCATTTTTTAATACACTATTAATTTCTCATTTTATAAACAAATAAAATTAAAAAAACTCTAAAATTCTCTATATCTCTAAACAATGAAGTGTGCTATACATGCTACAAATAAACGGTGAATACTAGTTTTTAATAGCTACTTTAACATTCTTTCGTGTAAATATGCAAGCTTGAAGTGATTTTGAGCTCAAATTGCTTACAAATGAAAAAAACCACAATAAAGAACCATATTTATATAGTGAACAAAATGAGATAAGACAATGGTGAAACATGAGAGTATGAAGTTGGTAACCTTTAGAACCGAAGAATCAATGGAGGAATCGAAGAATGGATGGAGAAAGAGCAAGAACACTGCTTAAATTTGAACTGAAGCTCTCGGACAGGCTCGGGGAGGAAGAAGACGCCCAGCAGGATTTATAGGGAGGCCTTTAGTCCCGGTTGGTGGATCCAACCGGATCCAACCGGGACTAAAGGTCACTTTCTAGTCCCGGGCCACGCCACTAGCCGGGACAAGAGCTTTACTCCCGGTTGGAGCCACCAACCGGGACTAAAGGTCTCTCTAGTCCCGGGCGCAATATTTCCCGGGAATAGAGCCTGGTTTGGCTCTTGGATCAAAGGTCTGTTCTCTACTAGTGCCTAGAAAACTTTGCTCAGTTGGCCGGCCACCCGACGACGACATCCTTGAGGTCGAGCGCCCTGAGGAACGGGAAGAAGTCGGACACGTTAGGCTTGCCCATGCACTCCAGGAGTTCCTCCAGGAGCTGCTGCAACCCATGTCCCGCCGCCGACGACGGCGGCGACTCGGCGGCAGCGCCCACGTCGATGACGTCGATGGAGAACATCGCGGTAGAGACGAGGTTGGTGACGCCGCCATAGACGGCCTCCTTGACGTCCACCACCGTCCCAGCCTGCGCCCGGAGGTACCCGACCAGGTCCGCGACCTTCCGCCGCCACTGGCTGCAGACGACGCCGCCGAGGTCAGCACGACGACGGGACGTCGCGCAGCCATGATGCCGCTGCAGTGCCTCCAGAGCGGTCTGAGCTGGGCGGCGAGAGGAAGGAGCGGTCGCGAAATCCCAGCCAGCGCTTCTTCAGGGTCCGGGGCGCGGGCGCGCGCGATCGGGCGTGTCGTGCGCCGCGAACGCCTCCCGGCGTCGCGGGAGGAGACTACCACCGCCGACCCAGCCCAGTCGAGGCGCATGACGGGCGCCCGTCGTTGGCCCAGCCAGCGCGCCAGCGTGTGGTGGAGGTTGCCCATGGACGCCGCAGTCCGAGAGGTTGCCGATCAGTGGCAGAGGCCTCGGGCGAGAGGTCACGCCGCCGAGCCCCCAATGGCGGCGGCGGTGTTGGTTGGTCGTAGCGAGAGGGTCGAGACGGCGAAGTCACCCATAGCCACCGAGCTCAGGCGCCGCCATCTCGTGATCTTCCGCTCGTGTCGTCGTGCTGCCTTGCATATATATATAGTGGTGTGCGTCATAGAGAGCGCTTGCGTATCCATCGCCGCCGCTTGATGGGCCAAAGTCCCCCACCCCCCCCCCCTCGATGCGTTGGGTAGCTTCATTAGCGACAGACCGGACAAAGCGACATCGAGACGTCTTTATTCTTGTCGATTGGATAGCATCTTGATTCTACACGTGGAGTACACTACGTGATCACTCGTGCTGTCAATGAAACAGCGACACAGCCCCGTTCGCGTGCCTTTAAATCCGACTTGATTCGCTTATTTTTTTATCCGGAATAATGTTTTTCTCTCACAAATTTCTCCAACATTCCTCAAAACCATCCAGATTCCTTCAAAATTCAGATAAGCGAGTAAACCCACAGCTGCTAGTAGAGTACAGAGTACAGCAAATAGCCTTGTTTCCATAGTTCACCACGTGTTTGTGACCCAAGTGTGTACTTCTTCCGTCCAAGAAGAATACAACTATATATATAACTTTATTATCATTAGTTAACATGCACGTGTGACACGCACGTGCTTATAAGACATTTGTATTTTTTATTTGCTATTTTCTAACTTGCTTGCCGTTATCATCTTCTCCTAGTATTTCTATATTTATTTGAAACCAACATTTTTTTATTCTTGTATCTGTAAATTTTTTTGTATATAAATTCTTTTATTTTTTGTTTTTTTTGTTTCAATATATGGGATTTTTTTTTGTGAAACATTTGTATTTGTATCCAATTTATTTTTGTTTTGATGAATTCTATTTCTTTTTTTACTTTCATAATTTTAAATCCCTCATTAGTTTTTTTAGCAACTTTGTACATGTATATATATATATATTCTATTTTTTAATTCTAATTGGACCAAAAGCCCACGGACCCGCTCGTAGCAGCAGGCCAAGGCCCAAGCTTCCATAATTGCTCCTATCGGCATAAATTTATGTACAGCGGCGCATCCCAATTCAATGTCTTCCCCATTTCTCTCCAACTCCTCTCTGTCTCAGCTTCAATCCTCCAATCCCGCCATGGTTCCTTGCCGTAGATGTCGGGGAAGAATGCAAGCCGTGCAGAGCACCGCCGTCGGGGCTGGCCGCGCCGCCCAGGGCTCGCCGCCGGGGAAGAAGTTGTGCCGGGCAGAGCACCTCCGCCGGGGCGGCCACCGAAGCGGGTAGATCCGCCCGCCGGACGCCGGGGCAGGGCTACGCCGGGTCTGGCCGCGATGCCTGTTGGCCGTCGGGGCAGGGCCGCGCCGCCGGGCCGGTTGCCGTTGCTGGTCGCGCCGTCCGGAGGCCGCCAGGGCAGGCCCTCCTTCTCGGCTGCGAGGCGACAAGGGCGCCTTCGGCTCCTACTCGCCGAGTCCAGTGGTGGCTCCAGCAGCACGCGTCTCCTTGCCGCGCTCTATTTCATGGTAAGTTCAGTCGCTCAGACTCGTTGACTGTCACAATCTTCCTCATCATCATCTACAGCGGGACCAGGGATGGGGAAAGATTTAGTATCTCACAGTTGGCATACTGCATTATATCTGTAAAAAATGCTTTTCCTTTCCAAACTTCGTAAGCAAATTAGCTTTCTAAAATAAGAATTGTAGTGGTGGATCTACAATTTTCAAAAAAATGGAAGAAGCTATCATAGTAGGATCTGAGTGAACACTCTGAACATCTCATTACTGCAGAAAATAGCAATGATAATGTAGTTCAGTCCAGTTACTGATTGACTACTTTCTGGTCATCCTGACTGCAGAAAATAGCAATGATAATATAATGTGTTCCCGTATATGCCAGTGCAACTGTTCAAGATGCTGATCGAGCTATTCAACAAAAGAATGGATTTCCTGTTCCTGGTAGGAAAATCAGAGTTAAGCTAGAAATGAATCAGTGCTCCACTGAAGGAATGTTTGCAAAAGAAGGAGAATAGTGAGGCTCCTCTCCTAACAGTTTGCTGCTGCTGAAACTCAGTAGATTGTGGATCTGACTGTCATTTGTTTTATTTGCTTGTGAGCAGTGCAATGCAAGTGAAGGACTCCGATTTAAAAGATGAGGCAAACGAGACTTCTCCTGCTGGAAAGCATAAGGGGAAATCGCATAAAACAGATCCAGGTTGTAATGTAAATTTCTTTGTTTTGTTTAATGTTTTTGCCAAGGTTAGTATTTTCCAATACTGAAGCAAGATGTTATGTTGAACCAGAGCAACCACATTTGTTGTCAAAGGATGCTATGGTATCAAAGGAAGCTCCCATTGGTGACCCCGAAAAGGTGAAAAAAAAATCTAAAAAGCAAAGGTGTGTACTGCAATATTTTACTTCAGAAGTCATCACCTAAATCTAACTTGTCATTTTTTTAGTAACATTATTTTTAATCGAACCTGGTTGCTTCGCTATTATCACGCCAGGATCAGGGTGTTCTTTTTGGTTGCCATCAGCCTTACCTTGTAACCGTGCATGATAGTTACGCTAATATTCTCGGTTTCTAGCCTGTCTTTCAACATCTTTATCACAAGACATTACATCAGTAGCTTGTGCTTCACGTTTCCTTTTACATCTCATTGAATTTCTATTCTCCAAGCCGACTTCATCCTCTAACAAATATTCGAAAAGGTTAATTGGTTTTGAAATAAATAATCCAAACAGACTGTTTTTTAAAAACCAAATAACATACCACCTTGAACATTGCCATCTGATGTTGTGGTCAGATTACCATCTTGTCTTGTGTTCGAAGCCATAACAAGGTTTAGGTTGTCTTGTTTATATTGTTAATATGGAGCACTGCAATCAAGGAATTTTAAAGCAATGGTGAAACAAAAAATTAAAGTTAAATGCATAACCTGCAAATATGTTATAGAGTCAAGCCACAAAATTTTAAGCAGTTGAGGTTTAGTTGCAACTTGCAAGTCGGAAAATAGATTACTTTTTAGAAACAGACATTTGAAAGAGAGGCCAGTTTAGTTGCGACATGCAAGTCAGAAAAGAGTACATAACTTTTTAGAAACATGTAGTTGAAAGAGAGGTCAAAATAATTTTTATAAACATGCATCGCATATTATATTAATCAATCTTTATTAGATCATAATCAATCTTTCTTAGTTCATATCAACACAAAAATAAATAATTGTATACTTGCATTAATCAATCTTCTGATGTGTTAGGCAGAGAGCTAAAGGTGTCCACGACGGCAGGTCTGCTGCTACAGGCGTGAAGGCAGCACCGGCCACTGGGGACCCGTAGATGAAGCTATAATCTTCTGGTGTGTCAGGCATAGAGCTGAAGGTGTCCACGACGGCAGGTCGACAGCTACAGATGTGAAGGTGGCGCCGGCCAGTCGCGTTCACGGCACGTGCTGTATGTGGAGGCCCGGAAGGAGGCGGTGGACTTCCTGATCTTCCTGCTGCGCGTACGTGAGTCCGTGCTGAGGCCCGGTATACGTGAGGTTTTATTTTAGGACCACAGGAAGAGGAGGACTACGTGAGGGAAAATCCAATTTTGTTATTGATTCTTTAATATAGGACAACCGCAAAAAGCAATTCTGGGTGGTCGGGACTCGGGAGGGGTGACGTGGGTACGACGAGCGGGTTGGAGAACTATTTGGTAAAAAAAACATGGCGAGGGAGGGCGACGGAGTGGTTTTACGTGGCAGGAACGCGTAAGACGTGACTGTAAGACCTTTTTTACATACATAGGATCATGCCCTTGCGTTGCAACGGGATTAAAATAATATCACAGTAATTTTAAGCTTAATCATGCATATTAGCCTGTGAGTGTTATTTTTTTTATGTGATAGTAGCATTTCATCAGATTTCCTAGCTTTTCTTCAACAGTCTCCATAAGGGAACCATCAATCACCTTAAGAAAACACATTAAACCATTGAAATATATACTCATCTCTTCTATACCATAACCAGTAAAAAAAATCTATAAGCCAATACCCAATAAAAGGGCAGCACTCTCAATGCAGTTTTCCTATATTATATTCCAATAAAGTTAGAGAAGATGGTATTACAAAAAATTCATCTCATACAAAGGACAGTATTGATCTATCCTTCATATTATTTTATTCATCTTTCACTTCGTGTTGGTACAGCGATGCCCTACCAATATGTAATGGCAGGAGTGGTAACATCCAGTGATTGTGGTGAGTGGTAACATCGTGAAAACTCTTCCTGATCCAATTGGCAAACATGTTTTACTTCTATTTTATGATCTCAGCTGCAAAATTGCAGCCACAGCTGGCAAGAAAGCCACCACTGATAAGGAACATGTTGCAGAAGTGCCGTACAAAGAGCTACTCAACCCATCAAAGTAATCTATAATGGACAACCAATGAAGTCAGGATCTCGTAGTCAAATCTCGTGAAAATGACTTGAAAGCATGTTAACAAAACCACGGCACAGAACGAAATAGTTAGACCTTGCAACATGACAAAATGCCAAAGAAGCCATGCAGCAAAAAATGCATAGAAATTCCCTGCATCCACAATTTTTTGTCAACCCGTGATATAGCTAAAATGATTTAGTCGCATCAAGCAGGTATTCCTCGACATAACCACATTTGAAAACTAAAATGATCTATTCAACTATTACTCTCCAACCAATAGCAGACTCATCTTATACTCTCCAAATAAAAGTGGATCATGTCAGTGTACTCGAAAAAGATGGGCTTTCTCTGTCAAAAGTCAAACTCATGTAGTATTTAGTTAAAAAAACTCATGTAGTATGGTAAAGAGGACATCTTTTTTGTCCTTAATAATTAGTCACCCTTTTCAAAATATTATTGTATTCATTTGCAGGGGCTTCCTACCTGAGAAAAGTTCCCCCCTTACTTGGTTATTACCTGATTCTAACAATGACATTGATAATCCAGCAAAGTACACTAATGTATTATCCTGACTAACATAAAGTCTGGAAACTTAATGTCAAATCGAAGGCGTTAGTATAGGAGATAAAAGCAAGCCTACTCAACAGATCATTGGAGCTCTTCATCAGATGTGGCAAGAGGGCAGCGACTCCCACTCGGCCACCCCAGTGATTGCGAGACAGCGGCGTTAACTCAGGGAGGGCTACATGGGCGCACGACAAAGGACTTCATCTTCATCCTACCACTCAATATTAAGGAAAAACATAAACAACAGAGGATGGACAGACATAGAGTAACCCACATGACAAAGTGTCCAAAGAAGCCATGCAACACAAAATTCATAGAAATCCCAATGCATACATAATTTTTTTCGACCCCAAGAGCTACTTCAGTAGTGTAGTTGAAACAGGTGGGTTCCAGAAAAATTGGCAAAAATGATACTCTAAAAATGTAGAAGGATATTGGGGCATGTTTTTTTTAGGAAATTCATGTGTTACCTTGACAATGATTTCACATGAGTGACCCTGAGGCCCCATTAGTTACTGACCTTCCCAATGCATATGCTAAGATATAGGACATTGAAATGAAAGAAATACAGAACAATCTTGTACACCATAGCACAAGTCTGACAAGGCAATAGAGGACATTTTTAGTAGGAAGGCACTAATAAGTGCTTCAGAATGCAAAACAAAAAAATAAGATAGACACAAGCATGGAAGTAAAGAACATGCAGACTGCAAGCAGAAAGTAAAATGCATTCTACCATATGAATTGGTGTACAGTATAAGTCCTTTTTTATGGTAGCTTCTTTTCTGTTTTTCTTTGTTGGCCCATATCTTCCACAGTTTGCATCACGATATACAAATTAGCCAGCTGATGTGCTATGTTTATATCTGAAATCAACTTTACTGAATTTATGATATGATTTCGGGAAAGAAAAGACGACTTAGTTGCTCTTGAATTAACACCTACCAAGCTCAATTTAGCGTCAATATTTCAAAAGTGGCAGTAACATTAAGCGAGCAAATTCAACAACATTCGCAAAGCCTAAATACCATACCTAATTGATGTATACAGTTATAAGCACCTCTCAACCTGGAATTCTAATGGACTCTGACTTTTAGTATAACTGTGAGGACTAAAGACATGCTAGAAGGAATGTAAAAGGATACGGCAGAAACTGTTGCACGGTTAAGACGAAAATGCATTGCACTTTACCTATGGGATGTATGTTAGTTTGCCAAGGTGAATCAAAGAGCTGGCAGTAGACCAAGTGCAGTATAATTTTTTTGAATTTTATTCATGCTGCACTAGGCCAAGCAAGTGCAGTAGTAACTACACAACCATCTGAAGGTATATGTCACTGGTTAGATGATAGACACAGTTCTGAAAGAGATCTGACAATCTAGTGATAAATTTTTTTATTAAAAAGCAAGGTACCTGTACCTCAGTGAGCTGCAAACTATACTTGATCAGGAGCTCTTTTTAATTGGCATTGCAATGAGATCATCCCTAAGCTTGATGTCATTGTCATAACCAATTTCCTCAATACAGTCCATGTAGTTTCCAAACAACCTTTTTCAATAAATAGGGCATGCAAAAAAAGGAATCCAGTCAAGGTAAGGCCGCTTTCATTTATGCCTTCAGGCATCTTTTCCTGAACAACTCTCTTGACTCCTGAAATTTCAGTAGGTTGTAGAGGAGCACTAAAACATCATACCTGTAAAGCAATAAGAATAAGAATCTCAGCATCGCCAGAAACATGCTAGATAGAAAGCATGGTAGCCTTCATGAACACAAACCTGGAATTCATTGAGCTCCATGTCACTCAGAGCCTCACACATCGAGGCTTCAGAGATTGTAACTCTTGATCAAAGAGTGGAGCAGTTGGGTAGCCTTCTGGGCATAGTAGAAGACCTCAGGCACCTGCCCAAAAAAGTCAACATTCATAATTATTAATCAGAACATCCAAATGCTAAGAATTTTAACACATTAGGCAAACACACTGTTCATGTCTAGAACACTACCAACCTTATTCTAATGTGTCTGTCAAAAGTTCAGATTAAGGATGGCAACGGGTCGGGTTCGGATCGGGTGGAGTCTCCGTGCACCCAAAACCGAAACCCAAAATCGAAACCCGAATCCGCCCCGAAAACCGATTCGGGTGGAAATCCATCACCAAAACCAAACCCGCGGATACCCGAAACCCGAACGGATACCCGAAACCCGAATGGATACCCGAAACCTGCGGATATATATACACATATTCACATGTATAAACAAGAGGCAACAAATAATAAATATTTTCATGAGTCAACTTTAAATAAATTTAATAATCTAAGTAAACAAATTATTATTAGTATATTATAAAACATGAGTTTTAATTCCAAATGATTTATTTCGGATATCCATTGGATATCCACGGGTGGAAAACCAAACCCGAAACCGAACCCGAATGGTTTCGGGGCCCCAAACCCGAAAACCGTGGGTGAAAAACCAGCCCCAAACCCGAACCCGCAGAACCCGAAACCCGCGGATATCCGCCCCAAACCCGATCCGTTGCCATCCTTAGTTCAGATATCCCTAAGGTAAGTATGAGACATTTGGGGGTACAAATACCCAATCAAGTATAATAAGATGCAGGGTAACCTGGATCTGCTGAAGAGGACCACTCAATGCAGGTCTCAAAATCTCGCGGAAGGACTGCATGATGGGCACCATAACCTGCTGCAAGGCTAACCTGCTGTGCGTCCCTCAGGTCCAACTTGCACCCCACCAAAATAACTGGAGCCTTCAACTGCATCACACAAATCAGACAAGACAAATCACAATGGGGCAACCCAAGAGACAATCAAACGCAAGCGATCTAGACCTACACCATGAAGCCCCACCACGCCCTATCGAGAATCGCACCTGGAGTCGCCAGAGCATTACTGAGTGTGGTGGGATGCCTCGAGCGCTTCCGACAGTGCGCCGCCTAGGCCTTCCCTCGACGCTGGCGCTCGGCCTTGGCCTTGGCGCGCTGCATCCGCTCTCGCTGCTCGCGCTCCAACTTCTCCCGTGCCTGCCGCAACTCGAAATCCATACTCAAATCCTTCCCCTGCAATTCTTCGAGTCCTCCAATCTGATCTAAAATGAGTTTCAAACGATCTAAAACGGATCCGGCTGCAGAGAAGAGGGATGGGAGGGGAAGAGAGTACAACGTGCCACAGACGAACAAACCTTGGGGATGTGGGGACTCTCCCTGGGCGGCACAGCACCGGCATCGGCGTCAGACCGCCGCGCCGTCACTCGCCTATGAGTGGCGCGCGACGGGGACGGCGCACCGGCGCCGATGCGCGACCGCGAGCGCGATCGGTGGCCGGCCCTGGACGAGGTCAGCGCCGGGCGTGGGGAACTCCGGATCGGGGAGGACACGGTCTGGCCGTCGGACACCGGAGACGGTCATGGGACGGGGCGGAGTCGAGGCGTCTGTGGCTCAAGGGGGGGGGCGCAGCGGGACGCACAGCCGGCGGGGTGAGGCCGCCACGACTTCCTCGCCGTCTTCCAAGACAGCGCCGGTCCTAGGATTTTGAGGTGCTCTGGCAAGCTCGTCCCACGGCCCGACCACGTATAAAATCTTACGACTTTTGGTGTCGCACCCGGGGATGCAGGGAGCGAGCGACTTTGGTGTCACACCTGTGGACGAAATAGTTAGGAATGTTTTAGTTGTAGAGATAGAGAAGAGATAGAGGTAGAGATAGAGAAGAGATGGCCTCATATAAGGTGGGTATGAAACTTTAGATGTGAGCTATTTTTCAATTCCTTCACGCTTATATATATATATATATATATATATATATATACACACTCTCTCTCTCTGATCTTAGGCAGTGTTTGGTTGCCATGACCAAATCGTGCATGCATTGGTTCATCCTGGATAACTATGTGGGGTCCACCTGTGCCACCGTTTTGTTGCCGGGCTGAACAAATACATCCATGACGGAACAATCCAGATGCAAGGAATATTGTTCTGAGATGCTGCATAATCCTGTGCACCGTGAAAGGCCGAACGACGCCACCCAAGACGGCATTTCTCGCGCACGTCTCGCCTCCCACTCGTTCCCCTGGCTCGGTGACTGGCGTCCTGTGCTTCCGGCCGCACAGGATTCGTTCGTTACTACTTTCACGTTCATATCCCTTTTACTTTTCTTGTGCATATATTTCCTGGCACTTAAAAAAATAGCGTCTGTCTATTGTACAACCATGTGTTTTTTATTTTTTTTTGCTAAAACACATGTGTGTTATATAGTATTTCTGAAAAAAATATTTATTGGGAAGTACCACAAACTAATTGCATCTATCTTATTCTATTGTTGCATTTATAATAGTAAATTTGTGCAAATGCATGGTACACACAAAAAATTTGGATGAACCCATACAACCATCCAAACATAATCTTATACCGAC